GGCATGTAAATACCTTGCAACGCCAGCTGCAAAAGTGCCATGCAAATGCCTGTTCTCACTTTCAGGTGACATTGTAAATAAGAAGCAGGCAGCAGTATCTCTCGTAAATGTCAACAAACTTGTTTGTCTTAGTGATTGGCTGAACGAGAAGTAGACTGAGTGAACTTGTAGGCTGTAAAGTTTTGCATTGTTTTGTTTTTGAGTGCAGTTATGTAACAAAAGAAAATCTACATTTGTAAGTTGCATTTTCATGATAGAGATTGTACTACAGTACTTGTATGAGGTGAATTGAAAAATACGGTTTCTTTTATCATTTTTACAATGCAAATATTTGTAATAAAAATAATAATATAAAGTGAGTAGTGTACACTTTGTATTCTGTGTTGTAATTGAAATCAATATATTTGAAAATATAGAAAAACATCCAAAAATCATTAATATATTTCAATTGGTATTCTATTGTTTAAGGTCAGGCTTGACAAAGCCCTGGCTGGGATGATTTAACTGGGAATTGGTCCTGCTTTGAGCAGGGGGTTGGACTAGATGACCTTCTGGGGTCCCTTCCAACCCTTATATTCTATGATTCTATGTTTAACAGTGTGGTTAAAACTATGATTAATTTCAGTTAGCTTTTTAATCTCAATTAATTTTTTTGAGTTATTTACATGAGTTAACTGCAATTAATCGACAGCCCTAATAAGTATCTGTCTAAGGGTAAGCCTATTGGAGACTATAAAGGCTTACTTTTTTTTCAAATAAATTAAGGCTTTAAAATATTTGACCTTTTTTGACAATATTTGACTGGAGAATTGACCCCCTTATTTTTGGACTATTCAAACACTAACCCCTAGTACTCTGGCACATTGGAACCCTGTAGTGAGGCTGTAATATAAACCAGTGGTTCTCAAAGCTGATCCACCACTTGTTCAGGGAAAGCCCTGGCAGGCCGGGCCAGTTTGTTTACCTGACGCGTCCGCAGGTTTGGCCAATTGCGTCTCCCACTGGCCACGGTTTGCCGCTCCAGGCCAATGGGGCTGTGGGAAGGGCGGCCAGCACATCCCTTGGCCCGCGCCGCTTCCAGCAGCCCCCATTGGCCTGGAGCGGCGAACCGCGGCCAGTGGGAGACGCGATCGACCAAACCTGCGGACACGGCAGGCAAACAAACCAGCCTGGCCAGCCAGGGGCTGTCCCTGAACAAGCGGCGGACTAGCTTTGAGCAAGACTGATATAAACAATAATTATGTAAATATAATAATAGGACTGCATCATGCATAGGGCCCTACCAAATTCTCAGCCATGAAAAACGCATCACGGACCATGAAATCTGGTCCCCCACTGTGAAATCTGGTGTTTCGTGTGTTTTTACCCTATACTATAGAGATTTGATCGGGGAGACTAGAGTTTCTCAAATTGGGGGTCCTGACCCAAAAGGGAGTTTCAGGGGGTCACAAGGTTATTTTAGGGGGGGTCATAGTATTGCCACACTTACTTCTGCGCTGCTGCCTTCAGAGCTGGGCGGGCAGAGCGTAATGGCTGCTGACTGAGGGCCCAGCTCTGCAGGCAGTGATGGCAACACCAGACCAGGCCATCCTTACTTCTGTGCTGCTGCTGGCAGCGGCTCTGCCTGCAGAGCTGGGCTCCTGGCCAGCAGCCGCCGCTGTCCAGCTGCCCAGCTCTGAAAGCAGCAGCGCAGAATTAAGGGTAACAGTACCGCAGCCTGCCCCTACAATAATCTTCTGACCCCCCCCAACTTCTTTTGGGGTCAGGACCCCTACAATTACAACACCATGAAATTTCAGCTTTAAATAGCTGAAATCATGAAATTTATTATTTTTAAAAACCTGTGACCGTGAAATTGACCAAAATGGACCATGAATTTGGTAGGGCTCTAATCATGCGTAATTAAAGCTAAAAGAGGCAGTCTAAGGAAGTGCACGCCACTTTACTTTTCTCATTTTCCATCTTTTCAGTGCCTAGCTGTGTAACTGTAACATTTTCTTACCATCATGTGGTTTCTGTGGGTTACATAGAGAAATTGTGTGACTTGTCTAAGGCCATATAACAAATTATGACAGAACCTGAATTAAACTCTTCAGTATCTGGTTTCCAGCACCTTGCTCAGTGCACTAAACAATACTGTTTTTAATGCATTAAGAAATAGCATATAATTTTAAGAGTCTTATTATTTGATTAATAGATTCTGTTCTTGCATTAACAATAAAATGAGTTCTTCCAGTGGGAAAATGTTAGGGCAATGGGATTTTTATTTCATGTTTTGCTAAATTTTAGCAAATGTCTCTTTCAGTATGTGAGAGGACCTTTCTTTTCAGCATGAGATTAATTCCTTGAATTTCTCTTGTGTCTTGTGTGTCTAGGCACAGTTATTTTGGTGGGGAAACGTTGTCACCTATGACATTTATTGCAACTAATAAAACAGAGCAGCTAATAAAAATATTGAATAAAATGGCAGCAAGAAAAAAATCGTATTAATTGTGTGCATTGAAATGTTGCTTCAGTGGCATAATGGTGCTGTTCTACTGTGAGAGACCTTAATTATGACCCAATAGTCCAATTTAGGAGCAACACTGACATACTGTGAAGAACTGCCCATTGCTGTCTTTTTGTACTTGCAAAAAGAAAAGGAGTACTTGTGGCACCCTAGAGACTAACCGCTCTAAGGTGCCACAAGTACTCCTATTCTTTCTGCGAATACAGACTAACACGGCTGCTACTCTGAAACCTTTTTGTACTTGGAAGATCGTGGGTTGGAAATAAACCCTTGTTGGGGATTTGAACAGGGAAAATACTTATGGAAATCTTTAGAACTCCATCTGATGAAGGGAGGCCCCAATGCCTGTAAAGGGGGGTCCCCAGTGCCAGTCTTATGGGGACTAGGTGGTTCAATGGGTTGATGATTTAGCTTGTCATTCTTAAAAACCAGGGTTTCCACAACCGAGAAAGGTGTTTGATGCTTTTAATCCACATACCTGGTGAACATTTTTGTTCATGTCACAAAAATCACTGTCATACTGAAAGGTGAACCTCAGGCTGGAGGGAGGTTACGGGTGGAGTTCCTCACCGACTGGCCTTGGAACTTGTCTTATTTAACACTTTTGTAATGACTTCGGCACAAAAAGTGGGAGTGTATTAATAAAATGTGTGGATGACACAAAGTTGGGAGGTATTGCCAATACAGAGGAGGACCGGATTATCACGTAAGATGATCTGGATGGACTTGAAAACTGGAGTAACAGAAATGGAATGAAATTGAATAGTGCGAAGTGCAAGGTCATGGATTTAGGGACTGTGGTGGGGTGTACAAACCCCACACGGAGCAACAAGGGCTTAAGGGCTCATTTTGGGCTCAGCCAGCCCTCACCACCACACCTGCAGCAAATGCTCCATCTGCTGGAGGAATGAAAAGGCAGCAAGTTAGCTCAGTTGGAGAGCAGTGTTGAAGGTAAGCAGACATGCAGCCCACAGATCCAGCAGAGCAAAGTGAAACCTAAAGGCTCTGATGCAGCTGCCCAAAGGGGCCCTCTGTGGGGGAAGAGAGGACCCTCCGCAGAGAGGGAAGTATCCTCTGGCCCTGGATAGTGGCAATTCCCTCTTGTTCCTTTTTTATTTGGATTTTCCCATGAGGCAAAGATCTTGGACTGAGCTGACTCCGGGGGGGAGACGAGAGGAAGACGCCCAGGGAGGACCACCTTAAGTAGCCTTGGTTGCAGGTTACTGGTAGCCCAAAGAGCCCTGGGTTGGAGCCCAGTGGAGTGGAAGGGCCCAGACTCCCCTCCCCACAACCCCCTTGACAGACTGGGGTTGTGGTCGTGACCACTAGGCCACGCTTCCCAATCAGACTCTGAGTGGAGACCATTACATACTGGTGGAGAACATGGGTAATCAATTCCAGCCCTGAGAGAAGAGGGGATTGACTGACGTAGGTGGCCAAACAGCCTGATTTAGAACAACATGGGCTGGCTGGCCAGTGATGGAGAACAGTCAATGGCTTGGTTGGTGGTCAGGGCACTTACCTGGGATGTGGGAGGTCCAGGTTCAAATCCCTGGATTGAATGAGATAAATTCTCTTTCTCTCTCTTTTCTCATTTTGACCAGAAATTTCATCCAATTCAAAATATAAAATAAACAGGAATATGGCTGCAAACAGTTTCTGTATTGACAAATTTGCATTTTCAGATTGAAAAACTGCTATGCTGAAAATTCATGATCAGCTCTAGTCAGGAGTGATGTGCATTAGCAAAGCTCTGGGACTTGGAGTTTATGGTAGGGTCATTGTAGGTTAACGTGAATCTTAGGAATGGAAGGGACTTTGAGAGGTCATCTAGTCCAGTCCCCTGCACTCATGGCAGGACTAAGTATTATCTAAACCATCCCTGACAGGAGATTGTGTAACCTGCTTTTAAAAATCTCCAATGAAGGAAATCCCACAGTCTCCCTATGTAATTTATTCCAGTGCTTAACCATCCTGACAGGAAGTTTTTCCTAATGTCCAACCTAAACCTCCCTTGCTGCAATTTAAGCCCATTGCTTCTTGTCCTATCCTCAGAGGTTAAGAAGAACAGTTTTTCTCCCTCCTCCTTGTAACAAACTTTTATGGAAGTGCTTTGTCAGAGCTATTTTCAGGAGCCGACCCTTCTATTCTGCCTTGACTCTAGTCCAGTGGTTCTCAACCAATTTACCATTGTGGGCTGCATATACAGCTCTCTGTGTTCTGTGGGCTGCATCCACACAATATACATATGCTACCTGTATGGCCCTGAGGATGTCACATGGGCCACAGCTGTGCACTGATTGGGCCACAAACAGCCCGCTGGACGTGGGTTGAGAACCACTGTGTCAGTGCTGTTGTCCCTTAGGATCTTGAAAGAATGTGGCTTCATGCTGCCTCTTGTTAAAGTAGTTTGTATGTTCTTTTTTCTCTGAATGACTTGTCAGCAACCAGACGGCAGGTGTTCATGTATAACAATTTTTTATTTTCTTAGGTCCTGCTTTGCTGCTCACCAGTGATAATATCAAACAGCGGCTTGGTTCTGCTGCACTGGACAGGTAACCATTTCCCTTGACCCATTACTTACCGAACAATGCTAAGAAAGGCCCAAGAGGCACTTGTCTAAAAATCACACACTCAGCATGGGGAATGTAATACCATTTGCTAAAATATATACATTCCCATCAAAAAATAAGTCAGGCATACTATCCTTTTAAAATAGAGCTAAGGGTTTTTTTTAACTTTATTTTTCACAGACTCTCTTTTTTTACTTGTCAAGCATATGCTTTTGAAATAGTGTCAGGTTAATTATCCCTGTCCTTGAGTGAGTGGATGTTTTGTATTCATTTGTAAAAATGTCATGAAATGTCTGATTAATGTTCGGCAGAGGCATATCCTGGTTCTTCAGTGTGTGTGTATTTAATGGAACAAATAGCAGGAAAATAAATGGGTAAGAGAGCCTGTAAATGTTAACTGAGACATAGACTGATATGAGGAACTTCTCAGTTACAAATCTGTTAGGCTTTCTTTTCGCTTAACTGCTTTGCTCAAATAGCTTAATTTCCAGTATTTTGTAGTGCTTGTGAATGTCCTTACCCAGCCACCCTGTCTGGGAGTAGAGAACCCGGGACTTATCTGATTCTACAATAGAAACTTTGGTAAAGGCTCATTACAACTGGACCTTCTAGTCCAGCTTTTGGTTCTGAGAGCAGGATTCCTGAAAATGGCAGTACCCTGCTAGTTTACAAGAGTAAACCAGAAGAACAGTGCTGCTTGTTTGCAAAGCCTGTGATGACTGCAGAGTAGCTTAGCCCTGGATTTGTTATGGTTGTGACCGAACCCTGAAGGTTTTAGAAGTTTTGTCGATGCTGATCCAAACTTTATAAATGTTCCTGTCTGTCCTTCCCTCTAAGAGGCTCTGGCTTCCACCTCTTCCATGACCCCTATTAAAATTGCCAGCCTTCCTCCTTCACTTCTTGAAGACCCTGTTGCAGAGCAGAGCTTCTCTGGTTGCATTGCATTCGAAGTGCACTTGCTCTGGGGCTCTGCACCCCAGAGAACATGACAATCCCAGGAACACGCACTGTTAGATTTGGGCAGTGGTCATGGTTTTCAGCTGCACCAAAGACATCCTCAGAGGTAGCATAGGGGAGAGAAGGGCTGCAGGGAGGGTTCTTTGGCTGTGCGGGAACTCTACGGGAATTAATTTTATTCACATGTGAAGAGTGTCTCACATTTAACTTGGAGGATGGAGGAAGGTTTATTTTGGCTTCTGTTTTTTCCAGATCGGCTTTTCCCATACCAAGATGACAGTAGAGCTGAGCAGCTAGGATTCTAGCAGTGGTGCAGTGGTTGGAGGGTCAGATGCCCCACTTCCCCATGATTAAGAAGAAAGTGTATTTTTAAAAAAGAATATTTAGCTAGATTAGGTTTCAGTCCTTTCAGTCATTAGACGTGTCCCATTTCAAAAATGTTTGGAAAAAGAAAAGGAGTACTTGTGGCACCTTAGAGACTAACCAATTTATTTGAGCATGAGCTTTCGTGAGCTACAAGTGAGCTGTAGCTCACGAAAGCTCATGCTCAAATAAATTGGTTAGTCTCTAAGGTGCCACAAGTACTCCTTTTCTTTTTGCGAATACAGACTAACACGGCTGTTCCTCTGAAAAATGTTTGGGTGACCCCAGCTTCTGTTTGTAGCTTCCAACATTTCCTCTGTGGCCTCAGTCCTCCACTCTGGCTGAATTCTTGCTGTGAAATGATGGTAATCGTTTTATTTGTTTGTGTCCCCCAGTATCCACGAGTACAGGCTATCTAGCTGGCTGGGGCAGCAGGAAGATATTCACCGTATTGTGCTCTACCAGTCTGACAGCACCCTTACTCCTTGGACACAGCGCTGTATCCGACAGGCTGACTGCATCTTAATAGTGGGGTTGGGAGAACAGGAGCCCACTGTTGGAGAGGTGCGGAATGTCTTTCTTTTTATCTGAGGGTGGGGGCAAAATTGCAAAACAACCTATTGTGTGACTGAGGTGATAAGCAGCCTTTTTCTAGCTTTTTGTTTTATTGGATTTGAGACCCCTTGGGCATCAAATAGTGCAGCCAAACGGCTGAGAAATGGGCATTTTCATTATCAGTTCCCTGGAAGTTTCTTTGAACTCCTGGGAGTTTGGGGAAAGCTACCAACTACAATCTCTGTATACATCACCTCCTTGGCTTGTCTCAGTCTTGGAACAGAACTAGTGAGTAGATGGAGAATGGGAGTGCTGTAAGTGAAGCTATGATAATAATGAAAAGTAAAGAAGACAAGGAGGGAAGCAATGGAAGGAGAAAATATTTGAAAAAAGTGGCCTCGTGTAAAATAGGCTGAGAGCACAATAAGCAGCATTAAGTGTTTTTAAATTTTACTTTTTATCAACGTGGGAGTAGATTTCATTTTATTTGAGCATTGTAGGTCCACCTTGTTTAGGTGTACAGTAGGCATTATATAGATATAGTGTTCAACTTGTTTACTTTAAACAGCTCTTCATAAGTCCCTGCTAATCTTCAAGCAGGGAAAAATTAACTAGCTAACATTAAGAGTAGCCATATACATGCAAAGGTGTAAATATATTAGCCTAAATTACCTTTGTCTGATTGGTCCTAGTATGCAGACTTCCACAGCTCTCTACATACGCATATGAGGTGAGGAGCAAGATGGGAATGTGCAGGAAAGTAGAGGGGGTGTACTTTTGTAAGAAGTACTGTACTCTGTGACATTGGCCCTGAAGTAATGGATAACTGATTGTCTGACTGTGTGAGTGTAATGTGCTTCAGCTGGAAAGGATGCTGGAGAACACTGCAGTCCGAGCCCAGAAGCAGCTGATCCTGCTCCATAAAGAGGATGGGCCTCTCCCTTGCCGAACTGTGGAGTGGCTCAACATGAGGAGCTGGTGCTCGGCTCATCTTCACCTCCGCTGTCCCCGTCGAGTCTTTTCCCGGAGGAGCCTACCCAAGCTGGTAAGGGACACCTGCCCGTGTGTTGGTCTTCTGTCAGCACTTTCAGTCCTAGCAGCACATCTACTGTTCATTAAAGATAACCTGGGATAATGTCAGTGCATCATGTTGTGACCAGCAGTTGGGAAAGATATTACCAAGATATTGTCTCCATTAATCGAGGACCTAATTCATTGTAGAAACCTAGTAGAGATCCTTGGTTTACAGCTGATTTAGGGACTGAAGGATGTTTGTAGGGATTTTGATCTGTTGGAGCCAGTGAACGTGTATAGCTGTTATGTAGCCCTGCCACGGGCTGGTCCCCCAAGAGTCCTTTCAGGCCTTAATCACAGACCGCATCCACCCCAGATCTCCTTCATCACCATGTTTTCTTGTATTCTTCTAGCAGGCTACAGCCAGTAGTGCTATTCACATCTACTTTCCGTCCATAGCCAGCCCTCCTTGCTTGCTTCTAGGGAAGGGAACTGTATTTGCAGCATCTAGTCCTGCTGGCTTCAGCCTTTCTTCAGGCTCCCTGTTCTCCTGTCTGAGGAGAGATTAATAAGACTGGGACTTTTCAGCTTGGAAAAGAGGCGACTAAGGGGGGATATGATAGAGGTCGATAAAATCTTGAGTGGTATAGAGAAAGTAAATAAGGAAGTGTTATTTACTCCTCCTCATAATACAAGAACAAGGGACCACCAAATGAAATTAATAGGTAGCAGGTTTAAAACAAACACAAGAAAGTATTTTTTCATGCAACGCACTGTCAACCTCTGGAACTCCTTGCCAGAGGGTGTTGTGAAGGCCAATACTACAACAGGGTTCAAAAGGGAGCTTGATAGATTCATGGAAGATAGGTGCATCAATGGCTGTTAGCCAGGATGGGCAGGAATGGTGTCTCTAGCCTCTGTTTGCCAGAAGCTGGGATTGGGTGACAGGGCATGGATCACTTGATGATAACCTGTCTGTTCATTCCCTTTGGGACAGCTGCCATTGGCCACTGTCAGAGGACAAAAAGAAAAGGAGTACTTGTGGCGCCTTAGAGACTAACAAATTTATTTGAGCATAAGCTTTCGTGAGCTTTCATGCATCCGATGAAGTGAGCTGTAGCTCATGAAAGCTTAGGCTCAAATAAATTTGTTAGTCTCTAAGGTGCCACAAGTCCTCCTTTTCTTTTTGCGAATACAGACTAACAGCGCTGCTCCTCTGAAACCTGTCGGAGGACAGGATACTGGGCTTGATGGACCTTTGGTCTGACCCCATATGGCCATTCTTATGTTCCCCCAGCACTACCGTCCTGCCTGCTTATATAGTCCTAGCTGATGGGGGTACTTCTGCCCAATTAGCCCCTCAGCTGTATCTCTATTCAGTTAATTAGCCGCCTCTGCCAACTATCTGTCTTCCAGTTAGGTCCCAATTAATATAGCCTGGTGGTGATAGAGTGACAGGGTGCTGCGTTAATACCAGACTCAGTACACTAGCTTACAAGCCCTTAGTGTTATCAGAAGGCTCTCAGTGTTTGAGGAGAGGGTGCAGAGAGCCAAGCAGGCTGAAATCCTGCATAAATTGAGGAACTTCTTTGTGGAATACAAGAATGAGGCTTTCAGATGGTTAGTTGCGACTGGTTGCATTTTCTTAGAGGTTGAGTTCAACATTTGATGTTTTCGTTCCTGTTTTTTTTTTTTTTTTACTTATTTATTTTTTGTAGGGGGATGGGTGGGAGGAGGAAGGAATGTCATGACTTTATCTTTCCCAAGAAGTTGCACAGTGCGTATCTTGTCATGCAGGACAATTGCACATTCTCAACTCAGTGGAAGAGGGAGTCTTTTAAACATGTGGTCAGAACTGGTGGCCACCTTAATGCAATGAAGGCCGAGTAGCTGTTTCTCTTACAAATTCCCTGAGCCTCCAGGTTTTGTAACAAAATGTCAGAACAATGGTAAATGGCATCAATGTGAAGCTTGGTTGTATATCATGGGGTTTTGCCTAGTTGAAGTTGTAGTGAAGGAAGTGACTTATTTTGCAGGCAGGTCCATCTTTAAAGTGGATAAACTGGTGTAGTGTTAGAAAGCGAGAGAGAGTTTCAGCTCTATTTAGCTGTTCATTTAGGGATCAGTTCTATCCTATTGATTACACTGGGAGCTCTTGGTGCTCTGCAACTTTGAAAATTAGGCCACCTCTCTTTAGTACCTAAATGTGGGTTATATGCCTAATATTTTGACCGTATCCTCTTTGCCTCAGTGTCCCTGTTTATAGATGAAAATGTGATAGTGCAAAATGTTATTATTTCCCTATGTTTGGCTGGCAAGCCTTCCCTTAGTTTATTTGTTGACCTAGGTCCCCTCTTTAAATACCAGGGAAGCTAACATCCCTTAACACTGGTTTGTTTTGAAAAGTTGGCGGAAACAGGTTTGTGGGCTTCGCTCTGATTATGACATCTAAAATAAAACTTAAATCCTGCTCAGTTTGTTTAATTATTTTGTTAAGGACACAAGCTGAGCCAATTCTCTGTGTGTCTGAAGGTGTAATCTGTCAGCCATGTCTAGGAAGGAGGGATGAGGACATGTTTGTGCCTTCTTGTCCTTTGGTTCACTCCCCTCTCCACATGGTTCTCCATAATGGACAAATGAGTTCTAGAGACAATTATCCAAGGTTGCAACCTTTAATTTCCTTTATCTCCTATCCCTGACAAGGTACTTGCAAGCTACAAGGTCAAAGGATTACCCAGATACTACCACCATGCTAAAAGCCATGCAGCATTGTCTGAATATCAGGGCTATAAAGCATGTTCCTCCATCCATAACTTTCTATGGAATGTATTTTTTTCATAGACTCACAAAAGTCAGAGGCTTCAGAGCAGTTGGGAGCCTGAAATCTTTGAGCAGGCTCTAGCTCTTGGGGGGGTACGCTGTTGTCTGTTCTGGCACCTGTTCACCTGGGAGACTGCATGTCTTCGATTGACCTCTCTCATACGGATCTCTGCTGCCAAGTACAGGATTCAGACCCACTGACTAAGGGCCAGCCCCCCTCATCTGTTGGTGCTTGGATGAGTTTTGTAAGTCCATCTGGGTCTGTTCCTAATTGCATTGTGTCTGTAAGGGATTAGGGAACATATCAATGAAGAAGAGAAATATTTGGCTTTTGCCTGTAGATTAGTTGTCTTCAATTATGCTTGTGCAGCATCTGTGGCCGACCCTGTATTGGTCAGCATTAATACTAACGTAAACATTTTTAGAGGGAAGCAAACATACACACTTCAATTTTCTTATATTTTAAAAAGGAACTTTCATTATTTTTAGCTGTGTAAATTACAGCCTTCTGGGTGGGAATTTGTGAGTGGGTCTTCGACACTTCAATATGAACAGCTTTGATCTATCTTTTAATCTTCCAGGAGAAAACCCACCCACCAGATGTGAGTCATAATATTCCTATGATCTTTACCTCCTACATACAGACAGTACCAATTGTGCAAGTGCAACTGTTGACAAACCTGGCATTAAAATCATTGCTTGTATTAAAGCCCAGACTCTTGATATCGTAGTAACATCATGTCTGTGGTTACTGCTCTCCACATCCACCATTTTTCTGCCTTCCCCCATTTTGGCTTATGAACTCTGAATGCAACTTATGGAAGTATAGAATCATCGAACATCAGGATTGGAAGAGACCTCAGGAGGTCATCTAGTCCCACCCCCTGCTCAAACCAGGACCATTCCCCAACTAAATCATCATTTGCTTTTATTTACATCTTGCACACTGCAGTTTCTCTTCAGGAAGAAACTCAAGAATCTTACTAAGCTCAGTAATTAATTGGTAGAGAGCTGTTGTGTTGGCTCATCAGCCCAGAGTTGAAGCTGTTTAGCAGGACCTTCCAATTGCTCATTTTGTGTGAATCTGATGCATCTCCGGCAAATCCTGGGTGGATTTGATAGCTGCTTTCAACTACCTGAAAGGGGTTTCCAAAGAGGATTAATCTAGACTGTTCTCAGTGGTAGCAGATGACAGAATGAGGAGTAATGGTCTCAAGTTGCAGTGGGGAAGGCTTAGGTTGGATATTAGAAAAAACGTTTTCACTAGGAGGGTGGTGAAGCACTGGAATGCGTTACCTAGGGAGGGGGTGGAGTCTCCTTCTGTCATAAATATAAAGGGAAGGGTAACCACCTTTCGGTATACAGTGCTATAAAATCACCCCTGGCCAGAGGCAAAACCCTTTCACCTGTAAAGGATTAAGAAGCTAAGATAACCTCGCTTGCACATGACCTAAAATGACCAATGAGGGGATAAGATGCTTTCAAATATATGTATAAGTAGGGGCATAGCGAGCAGATCGAGGGACGTGATCGTTCCCCTCTATTCGACATTGGTGAGGCCTCATCTGGAGTACTGTGTCCAGTTTTGGGCCCCACACTTCAAGAAGGATGTGGATAAATTGGAGAGAGTCCAGCGAAGGGCAACAAAAATGATTAGGGTTCTGGAACACATGAGTTATGAGGAGAGGCTGAGGGAGCTGGGATTGTTTAGTCTGCAGAAGAGAAGAATGAGGGAGGATTTGATAGCTGCTTTCAACTACCTGAAAGGGGGTTCCAAAGAGGATGGCTCTAGACTGTTCTCAATGGTAGCAGATGACAGAACGAGGAGTAATGGTCTCAAGTTGCAGTGGGGGAGGTTTAGATTGGATATTAGGAAAAACTTTTTCACTAAGAGGGTGGTGAAACACTGGAATGCGTTACCTAGGGAGGTGGTAGAATCTCCTTCCTTAGAGGTTTTTAAGGTCAGGCTTGACAAAGCCCTGGCTGGGATGATTTAACTGGGAATTGGTCCTGCTTCAAGCAGGGGGTTGGACTAGATGACCTTCTGGGGTCCCTTCCAACCCTGATATTCTATGATTCTATGATTCTATGATTCAAATCTGAAGGGGGGGAACAAAGGGTTTGTCTGTCCGTGTGATGCTTTTGCCGGGAACAGATCAGGAATTCAGCCTTACAACTCCTGTTAAGTTAGTAAGTAATCTAGCTAGAAAT